ACAATTATATAAAGTATGTATTAAAGACAAAAATTTTAGTTACAATTTTCGTATTAGATATATAATTTAAATTGATAGATTATATTAAAAAATCCTGCACTAGGTTAGGTTATGGAACGAAACATGAAAGTTAGGGTGCAGGAGAACCAACCCCTTGAAGACAATAGTGGCAGAAGTTTTAGTCGGGCCATATTCCATTTTGTTAGATCCCGTTAGGGTTCACATTTTTTGTCTTATCAATGCACGAGAAAATATTCCATGAATTTTTTCTTCCCTTTTTTCCCGGAATGTGGAGTATTTTTAGTAAATTATACTGTCAAAATCAAGCGGTTAGGCAGCCAGTTTTTACAATTTTTCCTCATGTACATATATCACTTAGGCGGAAACTGAGCCAGTTCCTAATACGGGAGGAGAAGGGGAAAAAAATAAAAACTGGCGGCCTAACTGCTTGATTCTGACGGTATAATTTACTAAAAATACTCCACATTCCGGAAAAAAGTGTAAGAAAAAATTCATGGGCCATTTTCTCGTGCATGGATAAAAAAACTGTGAACCCTAACGGGATCTAACAAAATAAAATATGTCCCGACCAAAACTTCTGTCACTATTGTTTTCAAGGGGTTGGTTCTCCTTTACTGTACATGTAACACTTTAAGAATTTTTTTGAGATTAATAATATCTAATAATTATCTCTTTTAACGCTTTTATTTAACTTTAACTATAATACCATACGAAAACAAGAGTATCATGTTTTTGTTTTGAAAGACTTAAAAAATAAGTGGTTGTTTTTTTAATCTCTAAAATATAAAATCGCATTATTTATTCATACACAAATTAAAAATTTATTTTAGATTTTATATGTAAGTACGTATAAAGCTATTGTTTCTGCATATATTTGTCTCAAAGTCCGAATAAAACATTCACTGACCGAAACAATTGATCACAGCACATCGTGGTTATTTGAGATAATTTAATCCGCAGCATATATAAAATACGTATATGTAAATGGACAATACACATGCACTTCTTCGAAAACTGAGAAAAGCAACAAAGTGTGTACGCAAATGTACTTAAGGCTTTATTTTACTTTAGTAGACTTGTGTCAGTATTTAAGTAATTAAATGTCAGTATTTAAATACCAAGGGGGTTACTTTAATACTGTAATTTTTTTATATCATTTAGGCAAATGCTGGGGTATAAGTATTTCAAATATAATCTTTCATCTCTCTTTCATCTTCATTTCGTCCGTCTCATTTGTCTTATCGAAATGAAACATTAAAAAAAAAGGGCAAAGGTAAAAAAGCACCTGAAGTAATAATATATTATATTTTAGTCCAGCTATCTCCTCCGACTTATTCCCCGTCCGTAAAATACTGTTGATGTTCTAGACATTGCCGAAGAAGACGCCGATTTCGGTGAAGTTGATCCTGAATGAAAGTTCTATTAATTTTCTAATCTATTCAGGAGCAACTAACGAAGGTTTCATGTGTAGCACCTGCAGTGTTTGGTTTCTACTCTGTGCCCTCGCCCCTAAAATTTTCGTTACCTAGGAGTCGAGCAGCCATCTCTCCAGATTTCGATCCAGATAGGTTCCAAATGGTTAGTAGGCGCTCCTTGGAGTGGATCCAACACTACCCAGTTGTATATACGGTTGGGTGTCTTTTAAAGATTACCCCTCTTCCACGAAAACAAAAAAATCTTTCAAATCACAGAGCGACATGACCTAGTGAAACCACAAAGTTGCATACTAACTACCTCAAGATAAATGAGGGAAGATTTGTTGTCACAACCTCGCCGGGAATCGAACCCGGGAGCTTTGGCTGACTTTATGCACTAATGCTATGCCCACTAAGGTACGAGAGATGACAACAGCAACGACAAACTGCACTTATTAGCTCACAGATCTATCGAACTAATGTAATTATATTAATACTATATACATGAAACACTTTGACATTTAATAGTGGTTAATATCAAATATTAAATGTCAAGGTGTTTAATATCAATGTCTTATTAGTTAAATATTGTGATCATTATCCTTTTGATGGTCAATATCATAAATATACATAATATTTTCAGTATTTAAATAAAAATAAGGTTGCATTTAATATTATATTATATTCAAGTGGTCTAACTAACCAACTTAATCTAACCAGTAATTAATTTTCTGCTTAGTATTTTTATACTGACTATTTTGGTATAAAGTATTGACAGATAATTTGATTTGCACCTCAGCACACCGGCTATTTTCTGAAAGTGTCATGAAATAAATTTTAGGTTTTTGATCAATTTATTTGAAAAGCTACAACTACAACGGGTTGTGGTTATCTTTTCCCGATATTGATACATTTGATCGTTGAATCAAATACACTTACCGACTATTTTTACCTGAATAAGTAGTATATTTTTTAAACTGACGAACAATTGCTTGTTTTGTGTTTTAGATAGGTAAAAAATAAAAAACAGTACCAAAAATTGTACAAATTAATCGTAAGATTAAAATAAGTTAAATTAGGCAGGTAGATCCGAAATTTATACAAATTGTATTTTTCATGTGATGGCATCAAAAATTGACTGATGCAACATAAGAATTTATTAATTATTATTTACTTCTGCTATCATAAATTTTGTTTTGAAATTGCAAATTACATGCATGATAATGGACATTTCACACATCTGTTTATTTTGCAAAAACGAACGAAATTCGTTTCGAAAATATCCATCAAGTAGCGTGGAATATGATACATGTGTGAAACCTTATAGCTTATCGCCTTTCTCGTAGTATTTCATAAGCCGCACAAAATGATTTAAAAGGAATCAAGTATAAGAAACGCCAGTTGAAATCCAAAAGCCGAACTAGAGAAGTCCAATATTATTCGAAACGTAGAGTTATTACGTCTATCGCAATCGAAGTGAATTAGTTGCATTTTTTAATTGTATCTATTTATTCAAGTGGGACAAACTGTATTCAAACCTTTAGTTAAAAATCTATCAAATCAATCCAATTTTGGTCTTTATTTGAAAAAACAAAATGTCTAGTGTTCTTGCGAGTTCCATGCCTATAATTGAACAACCAGCATCTTTACGCTATTCGTCGATTCCACTATCGACTGCGGTACCTGGCGAAAGAATCATCACCTTGGAAGAAGTCGCATACCATGATACTTGGGATAGTTGTTGGATGGTGATTTACGATAGAGTGTATGACGTCACTGATTTTTTAGATGAGGTAAAACAAAACATATTTTTTTTTGTTTAACTTTATATATTTTTTATTAATAACTTTTAACATTAAGTTTTCAAAATTATTAATACAATGATTACTTCCTATTAAAATTGAAAAGCAAAAAATTAGCAAAATGCATTAATTCACTAATTACTTACATTTTTTGATTCCTCATCAATATTCGCATTGACATTGTATCGTGGTCACAAATTAAAATAAGATAAAAACGATTTCTTATGTCAAGGTTAAAAATTTACGTCATTTATTTATTGCCATGTATCGTAATGTTACATTTTACCATTATTTATGTGTGCGTTTAAATTAATGTAGTCAACATCGTTTTCATTTTTTTTTCTTTTTATTTAATAGGAAAACATTTTTATTTGCTTTAGCCGAACGATAAGTACTTATTTCTTTTTTTTTAGCACCCCGGTGGTGATGTTTTATTGGAATATGCAGGAAGGGATGCAACCTGCGCTTTCAGAGGGTCCGGTCACAGCGCGCTAGCACTAAAGCAGCTTCAAAGCTTTTTAATTGGAGAGCTACCTGCTGAACAGAGAATATTTCGCAAGTCGGGTGGTTATAAGATAAGCAACTTACCCGATTAATTAATATTTACAATCCGTACCGCACCGCACGCTTTTAAGTTCCTATTCAAATTTATTATTACTTGTAATTTTTAAACTAATACGAACGACAGAGTATTTACTGCAAATTATTTATCTATTATTTATTTTAATGGTATATCTATTATTTATTTTAATGGTATGATTGAAATTTAGCAGTATTAAAAATTAGTTTGTTACTTATTAGATGTACTTTTATTTATTTCTAAAGTTACAATAAAGAAATTAAAATGTAAACAGTCCACAAAAAATCAATATAGAACAATAAGTAGTATATACTTTGTAAGTCGTTAATCAGCTAATTTTTTAGCAGTATTGACACTGTAAGCTCTCTTATTGCACTGTTATTTGTGCGCGTACATGTCTTATAAAAATAAAATTGCTGTTTCTTTTTATGTTTTTATTTTAATAAGAATAGTTAGCAAATTTGACTTACGCGACGTAGGTTCCGTACTGTGTCTCGTAAGATGGAAAAGAAAAGGAAAACAAGAAAAGCGGTAAAATAAAATATTTTTTCATATTTTCTTCTACATTAGTGTCACTATAATCTTTTTTGATTTAACATTCATAAGTTTGTACTAAAAGAATTTTTTCGTTGTTCTATCGGGTTGTTCGGAAAGTCA